AATACATAGAAATCTAATTAGGTTGCTATGGAATTATTTGTCCTCATACTATAATCATTTACACGTATTTTAAATAAGCCTTACTTAGGTCTTCTAAAGATGTGTCCATACTGGGAGCAGGCAAGGCCAACTGTTGGTGTGTATACAATTGGCATTAGACTTTCAATGTCATCTTGCAGTATTCTGTAAAACAGCTTCTCATTTCTTTCTTGTATTCCCATAATATAGATGTACCTGAAATTAAGTACAGTAAAAAACGTCTGAGTCAGCCTGCATCACATTTAAAAATTTGATTTTTCAAAGCTAACTTAAATGACTAAAACTAGGCTCTCCCTATATCTACCCTTCCCTCTCCCCCCCAAAAAACCTCCCCAAACTGTAGGTTATTACTATTTAACACCCAGAACTAAAAATTATCAAAAATATAGATGGACTTAAGTGGTACGTGATGATGAAGAAAATAAGAGAAACAAAAGCGCTGGAAATGCAAAGATCACCATAGGCCTACCCTCTAGGAGCTAAGCTTAAGGAGGCCAACAAAGGAATAGGAAGCAAAATGAAAGGCGTTCATTCAAATGAATAAACACCACTATGCCAGGCACTATTCTGAATTCCATGGACATAAAAAGCCATCCCTGCTAAGGAGTTTACAACCTAGCAGGGTTTTAAGCATTATAAGGATTATGCAGAGCACAGAAGCAACACAAAGGAGGCAACGGTAAATAAATATATAAGTAACTTCTTTCAAAGAATAAAGGTTAAAGGAAAGAAAAATTCTGACTTAAAAACCAGAGGATCTTTTTTGTTTTGCAGTACTGAGGTTTGAACTCAGGCCTCATAGTTCTAGGCAGATGTGCAACCCACATAAGCCATTCCTCCACTCCTTTCTTGCTTTGGTTATTTTTCAGGTAGTCTCGTGATTTTTGCTTGGGGATGATCTCAGACTTTGAGGAGTATTTAGGATGACAGACATGCCTGGCTTACTGACTGAGATGAGGCCCTGCTAATTTTTTTCCTGGACTAGTATCAAAGCATGATCTTCCAACCTCCATCTCCCGAGCACCTGGGATTACCACTACATCCGGCCCAAAATGACCTTAAATATGTTTTCATCAAACTTGTTTCTTCTGCAGTCATCTGACCAATTAGGAAACCTAAGTCCTACTCCCTACCCCAATCTCATAAATCACCAGAGCCCCTACCACCTAAGTATCTTTCAAATATATCCATTTCTCTGTCCTTAATGCCCAGTCCAAGCCACATAATTCTCACTTGAACTACCTCAAGAGTCTTCTAACTAGTCTTTACACCTACATTTTTCCTCTCCTACACCAATCTGTGATTATTTCTATTTGCCTTAAGTGGTTTCCAAATGCCAGTAAGATAAGGCTCAACCTCTTGAAATATTTAAAAAGACCTCTACTGTCTCTCCAACCTCATTTTCTTCATTCAGCTTGGGTTTTTCATTTCCTCAAACGCACCACAAGTCTTACTTTGGAGGTGCTGCATCTGATGCACCTTCTGCCTGACTACCTTCTACCCTGGTATATTACCTCTTCTGCATTCAACTTTGATTTGCACTATCGTAAAGCTGAAAAATCTGAAATTGAGCCACAAGTGAGGGCTATCTGTAAATGGGAGGGTGTGCCTAGGTTATATGCAAAATATTATGTTATTTTATACAAGGAACTTGAACATCCATTGATTTTAGTGTGTGTATGGGGGCGGGGGTCTTGGAACCAACCCCTGTGGCTGCTGAGGGATAACTATACTTTGAAGTTTGAAATTTTCCTGTGATAAGGTAGCATAATATTCATTCTGGACACTGGGCAGCTGCAGTGACCCACAGCTCCCAAGAGTCAATAACTGGTACTCTATAGCAGACTATGCTGCTAAACTATGATAAATAGTGGGTTAGGTGTATTAAATACATCTTCAACTTACAATATTTTAAATTTATGATTGATTTATGAGGACCTAACGCCATTGTAAGCTGAAAAGTTTCTGCATTTCTGTATTTTCAGGAGCTAGAAAAGTATGTGGCATACAAATATTTGGTGAACAAATTAGACAATTGTACATTCTATATAGCTTCTGGGGACAGAAATGACATCAACAGATAGAAATTAAAAGAAGGAAATTTTCTCCTCACTATAAGGAAATAACTGAACAACTGGGCTATTAGGATGGAAAAGGCAGCTTTGTGATAGAGAGAGCAGGACCGTCAAGGAAAGAACAAATGACACACTAGGCATGAGACAGAGGGAGTTGTGCAATTCTTTGACCTCTCTAATGTTACCACTTTTACCTTCTCATCACTTCAGTCCCTCTTCCCCATGCCTCACGTGATCCTGCCATCCTCACCCAGGATTGCTAAAGCTCAGAAATGCTAAAAGCCCTTATTCCACTCTTTGATCACAACCCTAACCATTTTGGCTAGCTATGCAAAGCCCTTATTTCCTAATTCTTTGAGGGATTTCTAGCTCCTTCATCACTTCATTTACTTCCATTCCATTATCTCCCTTCTGGCTCCTCTTTGTTTCCCCCTTTAGGTCCCATGATCAGTTCTGTAACTCTGAACAATCTCTCACTGTTGTTATCATTTAAGAACCTCTACATGTTTATTATTGCACCATCCTTCCTCAGTGTCTGTCTTTCCCACCACACAGTGAACTCCCTGGTAGAATGGTTTAATTTCATTCTTACAGTACAAGAGCTTAGAACAATGCCTGCCACATAACAGCCCTGAATGAATACTAGATAAAGGAAGTAATCTAACACCTTTGTCAGCCCAGCAGACTCTAAATAACATTGCTTTAAAAAAAATAACACTGCTGTGAAGAACAGCACCAATACAAAGATTATACCACAAGGCCTTCAGGGCATGTCTTCATTCTTTCAACCTGTCTAACCTTGTTCAATTTTACCTCATAACTAGAAGGCTCTTCCTAACATTTACACTGTTCCTTGCCAACTCTATTTGACCTTGGCCCTTCTAAACCTTAGCTATGACTTTCATATTCTATGTCAGAAAGAAAATCAAGGTCATAAGCTCTCACATCAACCAGCTCTACTCTATTACCAACACACCTATCGTTACTAATACCTCTGTTTATCTTCCTAACTCTGCACTTGACCCTATGCCTTTTTCTTTTCTCTGGGACTTTGCGCTAGCAATTTTCCTTTCTCCTGGACTCATTCCTCCCAACTAGGAACTTGTTCAACTTTGTCTCAGCCCAGAACACTTAAACCAAGTCCTCCTTCACTTATGGTTAAATGTCTTTTTTCCCTTTCTATATTGAACGTTTTGAGATTATATTTTCTCTCTGCCCATTCATTTTTCAATTCAAATGAAATCCAACTGAATTCTTTTGCGCCATTTCACCACGAGTAGCATTTTATATGTAACAACCAACAGATCTATCAGTCCTGTATTCAGGCAGATTCCTCTACCTATGATATCTTGCCCTTCTTTCTCATTTTGACTGTTACCTGCAACATATTTTTAAAACTTCAGCTCAGCATCACTTCCTTCAGGAAGCTTCATCTGATTTCCTGAGTTGGTCTAGGTTCCCTCTTCATGCTTTCAGAATACATCCTGAATGTACATTTTTCACTGCACTTCACACTGTAGTACAGAGTACAGTGACAGCCATAGCCTAACTATCTGGAAGATGAGCTCCTAGAAGGCAGAGCTATACATTACTGAGTTGGCAACTACTGTGGTTTGAATGTGTTCACCAAATTTCATGTGTTAGAAACTTAAATCCCAAAGTCATGTCAGTGGTACTTGGAAACAGGGCCTTTGGGAGGTAACTGGGTCATAAGAACTCTACCTCAGGAATAGATTAATCCTTTCATAGATTAGTGGGTTACTGAGGAAGTAGGTTAGTTATCAGGAGAGTGGTTCTGTTATAAAGGTCAGTTTGGCCATCTTTTGTGAGCCCCCATAACATTTGGTGCCCTGTGCCACTGCAAGACTCCACAGTTCCACTAACAAGAAGACCCTCACCAGATGCAGCCATTCATTCTTGGACTTCTTAGCCTCCAGAACTACTATTCACTTTATATCTTCAGTAGAGTGTTACACACAAGCAGATGATAAACAGAAGTTGGTGAATGAAATGGGTGCAAATTAGATGATATTTATTAGCTTCTAGTATTAACATAAAAATTGGTTGTTGGTAAGTTTTACAAAAGTGAACATGAAGTAAAATACTAAAGTGAAGGAAACAATTATAAAACCAACAGTCAACTGGGGCTGGCAGTGTGGCACAAGTGGCAGAGAGTTTGCACAGCAAGCATGGGATGCTGAGTTCAAGCCCCAGTAGTGCCAAAAAACAATAGTAACCAACTGATAAAACACAAATTTCATGGTGATATTGAGTATTTTTCATGCCATAATAATCATAATATCCCATATTTTCAAATGGGAGTATCAATAAAAAACAAAAACATCCCATCAACTCTTACTTTTCCAAAGGGCTACTCATTTTTTTCAAGTTTTTATGGAATCGTAAGGCTTGAATATCCTGTGTCTCTATTTTAGGAGGTAAAAGTCCTTGAAGACCAAGCATTTGCCGCTCCTGTAATGTAAATGCCATTCCCTAAAGAGAAGAAAGCAAGAGTTAAACTTATTGCTTACTCAGGTAGAATGACATTGTCCTTTAAAATGTAATTTTAGACTTGAGACTTTCAAAATTTTATAAGCCTGATAACGTCCAGTATTGATGAGGCTGTGGAAAAAGTCACTCTCAGAGATACAACTGCTGGGAATGTAAGCTACTTTAGGCTTTTGGAAAGTAACTTTAAAGTACTCAAATTTTTTAATGCATATCTTTAATCAAGCAGTATGACTAACAGCTATCTCAGACAAATGTTCAGACATGAAATAAAGAGGTAAATGTAGAGGTTAATTGTAACACTTTCTAATTCTCTTGGCTGTTACAAACTAAAAGCTCATCAATTATATAATAAGAAGCAGATGGTATATTTCTACCATGAAATACCACAGAAATAGTTAAATGTATTATCTCTAAGTATGTATCATAGTAGAAAGATCTCTAAGACACACTTAAGAATAAAAGCAATTTGCAAAGCATGTTCACTGTTTACCTTTTTATGTTTAGAAAACCCAAACCAAACTACATATTATATGCAGGTACATGTAACACATTATGAATGAAATTAATAAAATACAGTTAAAAATTAATCTATGCTGGAAGAAAATCTTCAATTTCTGTTTCTCAGCTGTAGGTAAATTCTTTGTAAAACAAGTGATATAAGGAAAAATGCTGCCACATGGATTTCCAAAGATTCTTTCCTTCATAAAAGTGACAAAAACACTGGACAAATGATCAGAATCAACTTTTTTTTTTTTTTTTTCAGAATGCTAGGAAATAACCAATGGCTTGCAACAGTCACTTATTCAAGAAAAGCAGCTAGATTCTGGTGAGCAGCAAGTGTCATGCCATTTTTACTTGCCTTATTCCCATCCTCACCTCTCTAGCTTCATAGTAGTCTTGAAAACCAACAACCAGAGATCACTGAAAATTAGCAGCCTGGAAATGAATGGATGGGGTAGAAGAGATGGGAGTTCTTCCAAAGCCCTATTCCCAAAGAAATACCATTATTTGACCCACCTTGTGGTTCCATGAAAACCTCTCCTACAAGACTGTATTTATCTGACCTGTCTCAGAGCTTACTCAGTACTAAGAGCATTCATCTCCCTGCCCTCAGAAGAGCTTATGGAAAACAATCAGAGGCAATTTGTTAGCAGGACAGCTTCCTGAAACTGTAGATAACACTTGAAGTAAACAATAAGCTAACCAAAATAACAAAACAAAAAACAGTAAACTAACCAAAAAGCTGAAAAGGAAAAGCTATGGAATGAGATATCCATGGAGGAGGAGCTCTGAAAAGCTCTAAGATATTTTCAGGAATATAGAAGGCATGACTGTAGACATGTCCAGGAAAGACTAGATAAGGCCATTAGCTCCCAGCTCTGAGTAACCTGGAGGCTCTGTGCAAGCAGGAGGTAAAGTCTGGTGTGTAGTTAAAAACTGCAAGCTAAGTGCTAGAGGTGTGCCCCAACAGGTACACAAGCTCCTTGGGGGACATCAGTTCTGGTTCCAGACATTTAACTCTCAGTCTAATCATTAGCTGACCACCAAACTAATGATTTTATTTCTTAAAAATGATATTTTGTTTAAAAGAGATTTTCACTACTATGAGAGGAGCCTGAAAAATAAAGAGTTTAGATGGCAAGAGGAATTTGAGAATTACTTGCTATTATTAATAGTATTCAATTTTTTCTTACATTCAGAAGGACTCCTATACATCTGACACATCACTTCATCAATAAAAATGCTGGCTTCTTTCCTGTTAGGCAACCAATATAGGGGTAGGAAGAATTTGAAGAAAGTGAAAAAAAAAATGGGGGCAGAATGTTATGCACATAGTTCAGAGACGGCCCATCTTATAATCAAACAACTACTTATAGTTTCATAACTATAATCATAACAAGCTTCATTACAAATTCTCCCAGGATTTCCTGATTCAGAATTCTGTCCTATGGAAATACTATTAAAGTGTAAAATTGCTTATAATTATCTTTAGAAATTTTAAATCTGTGCTAAAAATAAACATTCAAGTTATTTATTATCTACTTTTTCTACTAGGATTCCATTTGGGAAAATAAAGTTCTGGAACTAGATAGTAATAGTTGCAGAACAATGAACATAATGTCATATTTTTAAATGATTAAAATGGTTATTATAAACATAATAAAGGTGCACATTTAGTAGACAATGATATAGACACATTTAAAAAGGTTCAGAATTCAGCCTTGACTTCAATTACATTTTACTATTCACAGCAGCAACAAACTCTTAAAAGCATTATTTAAAAACATAAAAGAAATTATTAATTCAGCTTAGTGTTTAAAGCACAAACCTGATTTCTTAACATGGTAAGTCCCCAAGGAATCCATGACCTGTGAATTACAAACCACTAGACTCTTCCCTCTTGAACAGAAACTTCCAAAAAACAAACCAAACTCTTTCTGATGCTTAAGAGATTTCCAGAAGTGGCCTTTCAATGATGTCACCCCACAGACACTATCCAGCGTTAGAGCTTTCAGGCCACAGCATTAGCTTTATTTTCTCCACAGAAGTACTGTAATGCATTAGATTACCCTCTTTGAAATTCCTTTGCCATTTTATACATTTTGTAAATTTCTTATCCCTAAGTCAGTGGGGGTAGGTTTTAAATAAAAAAAATTTTAAACCAACATATTTATCAAATGGCTACTATATCCAAGACATTGAAAAAGATACAAAGTATTTGAATGGCACTGTTCCAAAGGAACTTAAAATACAGTCAAGAAGATATAAGCTCTTGGAAAGGCAAATACCATTAATGATTTAAGTAACAGTTTAAAACATGAAAGAAGCACAAAGTAACATATACTGATTAGCTGTCCTATGTCAGAAAAGATAAAAACTGCTGTAGGGTTTCAGAGAAAGGAACAATTTACTCCAGTCTATAGTGGTATAAAAAGGCTCTACCCAAAAACTGTCTGTCTGTCTGTCTATCTATCTAATCTAATCTTGGTGGTAATGGGGATCAAACCCAGGACCTCAAGCATGCTAAGCAGATGGCCTACCATTAAGCTACACCCTCAGCTTTGATTTGGAATGAGTTGCATCTTGAAGAGCAAGAAAAATTTGGGGAGGTGAGGCAAAAACAAGAGAGAAGGAGCATATACTTCATTAAGCTTCATTTCACTCACAAACTGCTTGCTAAATATCCATTCTTTGCAATGCAAAGATGAGGTGCTCTGTGTGACCTTTGGCCAAATTCCCCTTTGTAGTTTTCCCTGAAAACTTGTCATATTATGCAGTACATTATTTTTCTCTGATAACATAAAATAAATATGTGAATTTTTCATAATTGTTCTTTTAAAATAAGTCATATCTTTAATCTAAATGCACCTTTCTCAAAAAGCATATTTCATTTATTTTGAAAAACTCTATGTATTCTTTTCAAGATCTTATCGGCAATCTTTTTCCAGAAATGTATTTGCTTACTATTTACACAGATCTACACATACATACATATAGGCATACACACACACACGAGTTATAATTTATTTAGCTTTTTGTTTACTGTGTGTGTGTGCGTGTGTGTGTGTGTGTGTGTGTGTGTGTGCACGTTGTGGACTGGACCTAGGACTTCGCACATGGCTAAGCATGTACTGTACCAATAGACCTGGTCATTATTTATGCATTTTTGTTGATACTTATGCATTTTTAACAACACGCTAGACACTATGCTAAGCATGTCAAAAGCCTTATTTCATCAATGCCCAGAAAATATTATGAAGTAGAAACTATTGTTCTTGCCATTTTTCAAATACTTGAGGGGAGTTGCCCAGAGTCAGTCACACAGTTAAAAAGGAGCAGAGCTGCAACTGGAACCCAGGCTGTAAAAATGCAAACTCCAGCCCTCTTAATAATTGTATTTAGCAGCCTTGCATGGTGGTGTACACCTGTAATCCCAGCATGGAGGCTGAAGCAGGAGGATTATGGGTTTGAAGGTAGTCTGTGCTACATGATGATACCACATGTCAGGATTAAAAAAAATATGTACTACCTGCAACTATTATATTTTCTACCTAATATTGCCACTAAACAATTGAGAGGGATCTATTCACTGAACCCAGCTTAGGTAATGAAGGAAGTCACAATTAGATCTCAATATGTCTCATCACTTCTGTGCTAAAAATGATAATAAAGAGTTAGGGGACTCTATGCTTTGAAACACTTTCCCGATTAACGGGCAAAAATATTTGTGTGAGATGATTTGTGTCCAAAAAGCTGGATGGAGATGGGGTAGGCTGGACCTGAGCTAAAGGTTCATCTCACAATTTTGATCCCACCCTCCACAGGCTTAACTGATTGGCCAGGGTGTGTGCCTGCTTTGAGATAAGTAAATATAAATATGCCATATTTTACCCAAAAAATCCTGGCTACAGCATGCTAGAAGTAGGAAATACTCAAGCCTTTTCTGGTGATAAAAGTTGTGAAGACTGAGACTTAGGAGGCATAAAGTAGCCATGACTTTTGTCACATGGGAAATGAAAAGTTCATGTAGAGAAAGCAAATCCCTCTGAAAAGTTTTAGTATGAAGCTATCAAATACAAAATTTCATGGCTTATCAGTCTAAAATACTTCAAACCTTTAACAGGAAGAGAGAAAGTTTATGTTGGCATTAACATTACTAACCTTGTTTGTTCTTGGATTTAACATGAGTGGCTTGCCTTTCTCTTTCCTGTGTAAATGACGACATGCCAAAGTACAAGGAGTGGCAGCTACTTTTAACCGGGAAAACATCTTTCTTACACCTGGGAAAAAAATGAAGAGAAACATACAGAATTGCACGTACATCAGGTGTCAGTTTTCAAAAGCAGGTTTAGAAAGCTTATCTTTCTACATGTGAAATACTCTTCAGAACACAGTGTATCTCCACAGGCTGTAAGTTGTAAAAAGGCAGCAATATAGTGGAGACAAAGACTTATTTTCCCATAACACTCTGAAGTTCCTGGGACAATAATCATTACTACTCTGCAAACCACCGCTCTACCTACCAAATGCCATACCCTGTGCCAAACATTTAGCCTCTTTCTAACACACAATTGTGATACGGTATGTCTCTCCCACTTGTGAGAAAAAACAAACTGAGAGGTTAAGAAACAAGGAACCATCTAGTAAACAACATAGTAAGTTCTATTTAACAAGTCTGGGAGTTCAGTTTGAAGGTGGAAAGGCAAATAGGAAAACGGGAACATTTACGTTTGGAGGACAAGAAGCTATCAGATTTTTAATCTAAACCTAGAATTTTAGTGTACTATATATCCAATGTTTAAATTTAATATACCAGAATTCTTGTCTTAAGAAACCTGTTATTGAGTATAAAAAATCATGTAAGTTGGCTAGGAAATACATGAAGTAACTTGTTCTTTCAGACCTATCATAAACATATGGGAATTTTTGAAATGGAAATACTACATATTAAACCTTAGCTATTTAGTGGAGAAAATAGATCCTTCTGCTTATTAATTCTCCTACCAAGAATCATGTCCCTTTATGGCCTGGAACTCACTCTGTAGCCCAGGCTGGGCTGGACCTCCTGATCCTCCTCCTGTCTTGGTAATTATCATGCAGTAAGAACTTTTCAAATGGAATTTCTATTTGCTGAGAAACCCAGTCTATACAAGGGGAAAGAAAAACCATTTATATACGGACTTTTTAAAGATTAATTTTACTGAGATAAAACTCACAAAATATAAAATTAACTATTTTAAAGTGAATGATTCACAAGCATTTAGAAATTCTTTTCTTTTCTTTTTTTTTTTTGAGACAGGGTCTCACTGGCATTGAACTTGAGATGTTCTTGCCACAGCCTCCCCAGCACAAACCACCCAAGCTTGACTTAGAAATTCTTAACATTTTACACTTACCACCTCTACTGACTTCCAAAATGTTTTCATCACATATATCATCAAACATCATATTCATTAAGCAGTTAGTCACCATTCACCATTCCTTTCCCTACCACCAACCTTCTTCCTGTCTTTACAGATTTACCTCTTTTGGATATTTCACAGAAGTGTGGTGCCGAAATATGACTACAATAACAAGATATCTACATGACCTTCCACATGATCAAAACCAAGGTAAATACTACAAAATAACTGATGTTTTCTCCAAAAATATTCATGTCTAGAGAGACAAAGATTAAGAACTACTGCAATTTATACAAAACTAAACTGATGAATAACTAAATGGAAAACCTGAACATGGACTGGATTGCACATTGGAAAAAAATGTTTTATATAGGATCATGACTTAGAAAACTGAAAAAATTGGAAGACACATTGTAGATGACATAAGCCAAAATTTTCTGAATTTGATAACTGTGTAAGATGTCCTTGCTCTGGATATACACCACAGAGTATAAAGGGGCAAAGTGGTATGATATATGTATGCAACCTATCTTTTGAAGTTATTTTGAAATAAACAGTAAGACATTTGTCAGGTATGCTGACAAATACTAGAGTACTAGCATCTAATCACATGATAAGACCTCAGTGAAGGCCAAAGTGGCATTAAATTTAGAGCTGGAGCCTGTACTTTTAGTTATGTATCTATTGACATTGCAAGAAAAGGCTCTGGCTTCATTTCTCCTTTCAAACTTCCTAACAAAAGAGGAGGAGTCTCTGATGAGTAGAAATTCAAAGCCACCAAAGTATTGCTTAAAATTTTACTTCAAAGCCAAATTTGTTTTATAAATAAAACAAAAATACAGCTTGACCAACTAAAGAAAATCCCTAGACCAAGTGTGGTGGCTCACACCTGTAATCACAGCTACTTGGGAAGCAGAGATTGGGAGGATCATGGTTCAAGGCCACCTCCAGCAAAAAGTCAGTGTAACCCATCTCAATGAATAAGCTGGGCATGGTGGTACACACATATGATCCCAGAAGATGTAGAAAGAAGGATTAGGGTCAAAGGACAGTCTTAGGCAAAAACGCAAGATCCTATCAGAAAAATAACTAACAGCAAAAAGGGCTGGAAGTAGTATGGCTCAAATGGTAGAGCACCTGCCTAGCAAGTGTGAGGTCCTGAGTTCAAACCCCAGAGCTGAAAAGGAAATTCCTGAAGAGCAATATTAAAAACAAAATTTAAAAAATAAGCTTTTATTTCCCAGTAATTCCAGATTTATACAGAAGTTACAAAGATAGTACAGAGCTGTCATATCCACTCTCCTCCCAGTTTCAGATTTTCCTCATGCTTTCAACAGGAGATATTGACACAATGCAGTTTTTCTGATGAAGAAAAATGCCCAGCACACTTTAAATTTCATCATCAGACAAGCCACTGGCTTCAAAGCATTTCACAACTGTGTTTTATAGTGTAAACAATATTGTTTTATTAGAGTGCAGTTTGGCACTGAAGATGGGCTTGCTTTTGTAAAAAGCAACAGGCTACGGCCTATTTTGGTATGGTTCTTGACCTAAGAATGGTTTTTACATTTTATAAGGTTGTATATACAAAAGTCCATGCACAGAGATAGATGCCTGTGGCACAAAGCCTAAATTACTGACATCTCTGGTCCCTTACCAAAAAAAATTTTGCTGACCCCCAACTTTAAAGGCTACCATGCCAGATGCTGGTAGATCACACCCATAATCCTAGCTACTTGGGAAGCTGATTGGGAAAACTGCAGTTCAAGACCAGCCCAGGCAAGTAGTTCTGGAGACTCTATCTCTAAAATAATCAGAGCAAAATGGGCTGGAGGTGTGGCTTAGGCAGTTAGAGCACCTGCTTTTTGTAAGCGTGAAGCCTTCAGTACAAACCCCAGACACACCAAAAGAAAAAAAATAAATAAAATAGAGGCTACAAATCCCTGTGATATAAAAAGCAAGATATAAAATCTCCCACCTATATTTTACGCCCATACACACACACACACACAATTTGAATGGTAGAAGCATTATTTCTGAATTAATTCTACAGATATTTCAATCAACAAGGACTTCAAATAAGGGATTTTTAAATTTTTTTTGAGACAAAGTCTTGCTATGTAGCTCAAGCTGGCCTTGAACTCATTATATAGCTCAGGCTAGCTCAAACTCAAGAATCTCAGCCTCTGCCGTCTGAGTGCTGGAATTACAGGAGTACACTGACGTAGCCAACATAAGGGATGTTTTAAGCATGTTGCTGATCACTTATTCCTCAAACTGCACTCTAGTTTCCAAGTTAAGTGTGGTAAAAGTTGTTTTCTGCCGTCCATCAACCTAACAAAAGGTATGAAGTACTATTTTGAGACCATTTGCATAAGGCTTAGAGTCTCACCAACACATCCAGCTGTGAATGGTGAGCCTAACCCTAAATATATGGCAGTGTCAGGATATTTCACTCATTTTAAATGGTTCTAGATACAATTAAGCTTTAAATAGTCAAAGCATGGAGGAAATACAATGAAAAGAACATGTGGATGATTTAAAAGGTTTCATGCTTTTGAAAAAAGGTAAAAAGCATTGTATAGGTAGCCAGGCCAAGATGGAGGGTTGGTCTAGTTTATAACTTCAAGGAAGAAACTAAGGAAGTAACTATGGTCTTAAAGAAATACTGACCAAAAAAGGCAGAAAATGGGAAGGACAGATGGGTGTGGTGGGGCATGCATGTAATCTAGCACTTGGGAGGCAAAGCAGGATGCCTTCAGCCCAGGAGTTCAAGGTCAGGCTGGGCAATATAGTGAGACTTCAATTCTTAAGTTAAAAACAAAGCAAAACAAAGCCAAAAAAAAACTAAAACAGAAGTCTGGGGGCTGGGAATGTAGATCGGTAATAGAGTGTATACTTTACATGCACAAAGCCCTGGGTTTCATACCCAGCACTGGAAAATAAAACAAAACCCTCTGGAAGCTAAAACATCAGTAGTAAGACACCATCAACAAAATTAAGTAAATAACAGACAAGAGGAAATATTTGATTCATATATAAAGGATTTTATCTAGAATAAATGAAGAGTCCATATAAATCAAAAAGACAAACCCAAGAGAAAAATCAACAAGGAAATAAGCAACTCACAAAGACATAAGTACACATGGAAATAAACATGTTAAAAATAATTAACCTTACCAATAACCATGGAAATGCAAATTAAATCTTCACAGAAATTTGGAAATTTTGGTTTTTACCAAAATTGATAAGGACAGAAAATAAGAACTTTTAATAAGAATGTATATCAATACTCTTTTAGAGGGAATTTGGCCTTATCTATTAATTTTTATCATAAAAACCCTCTTCCCAATAATTCCAGCTCTAGGGTACCTAGAAAATGCTTACAGAAGTATACAAGACTAAAGATGTTCATATTAGCATTAACAGAGAAACTAGAAACAATCTAAAATGTTCATAAACAAGGAAAGGTCGCATTGTTATATCTACATTATAGAATATCATGTAGCAACAGAAAAAGAATGAGAATGGCACAGGTTTTCATAAATACATTATATTAATTCATTCATTTTGAGGGGGCAGTACTGTGGTCTTGAACTTAGGGCTTCTATCACTTGAGCCATCCCCTAGCCCCTTTTGCTTTAGTTATTTTTCAGGTAGGGTCTTGAGTTTTTGCCTGGGCCAGCCTGGATTGTAATTCTACTATTTACTCCTCCTCTGTAGCCAGGATCACAGACTGGTACCATCCTGCCCAGCTCACTGTCGAGATGGGATCTCACCAACTTTTTGCTCTGGATGGCCTCAAACTGTGATCTTCCTGATCTCTGCCTCCCTAGTAGCTGAGATTACAGGCATGAGTCACAGTATAGGGTAATTCATTTTTTTAGAACCAAATATTGGTCAATTCTAACCAGAGATTAAAAGCTTAAATGCCAATTCTAATACACCTTAAGAGGGAAAAAAATGAGAAAAATTTCTGGATATTAACAGTTAAGATTCCCTAAAACGCTGCCTAATGAAGAGTAAAATGCAAATTATATAGCGTAAATAGCATGTTTTTTTAAAAATTGATGCTTAATTACAATTTTATGTGCAAATGAACATATAATCACCTGAAAAGATGAGGGAGAGCAGGAAAAAAGGATAGAAGTATGAGTTGACTTTTAGTTTTCTTTTTTTATGGTGGGACTGGGGTTTGAACTCAGGGCTTTGTGCTTGCAAAGCAGGTGTGGCATTTGAGCCACACCTCCCTCCAGTCCATTTGGCTCTGATTATTTTGGGAATGGGGGTCTTGAGAACTATTTGCTCAGGCTGGCCTAGAGGCTTGATCTTCCCAATCTCAGCCTCTCAAGTAGCTAGTATTACAGATGTGCACCACTGGCACCCACCTCAGCCTTCATCTTAATTTGGTCAGGGTCCAAAAAATTTAATGAGAATATCTTTACATATTATTTTTAAAGATACCTAAGTTTGCTGTTTGGAGAAAGCAAACCTTAGAGATCCTACAATCATATAGCCTACTTTTTTTCTGATTTAAGTTTATTAACCTTTTAAGAGTTTATTTTATATAGTCACATGTTGAAAATTGAACACAAAAGTTAGTGATGCTTTCATCTTACCTGCCCCGCCTTTTCTAAAAATAATATAACCAGTTTCCTGCCCTAGACTTGTTTTAAATATGTAAGAAACTGGAAAATGTTTGAGTTAATAGTTCTACTTCTAGAAACATTTAAATAACAGATTAACAGCCAGATAAAGAGATACACAGGGCAAAGTATGGGAGTGGGGGAAGCATGTCCTTCACGTGCTTGGCAACCCAGCAGCTCATGCAAAGTAGTTCAAGACTTTTTATACAGCTTAATGTCTAGCACTGCCCCTTCCCAAGGTCATGCGTGGGGCTGAAAGTTCTAATCCTATAATCACTATCTTCTTGGCGACCAGCCCCATCCTGGAGCTCACTGGAGGACCATACTAAGTTAACTCACAGCATAAGCAGAGGCAATTAAAAGGGATCATCATTAATTTAAAAAAGGCACTCCTGATAGTCAGAAAATTCTAAGGGAACAGGGA